AGAAATAACAACAATAAACAGGATGTTTGGATAAAAAATCTAGTGGGATCATAATTAATGTGACAAATAATTGTTTATGCAGTTGGTGATTAAATATGTAGAAATAATGAAATGACAAAATAGATAGGAAGTTCGGATATGAAATATGGTAGTGTAAATAAGGATTAAGAGAAACTTAAAAATAACGTGAATAGACAGGAAGTTTGGATAAGAATGGCAATGGGACAGTCACTATTAGAAGAATTACCTGTTTATGATGCCCATGGCAGGGACAAGGGTTGGATATATTCCTTTTGGATACATAGCATGGGTTTGAGCTTTTGGATAGCTAGTGCCTCGGCTATGCCCAAATGTCTTAATTTTACTCCCTTTGATGTGTTTGGTCGAATTTTGTATATTATTTTGAAGGATTTTTCGAAAGGCGTTGAGTGTCCTGAATTGACCAGATGTTCTGTCAGTGAACTATATACACGTTTTCGTTCTCCTTTTACTAGCCAGACTGGATAGTATTCACGAGCGCATTTTGCAAGTTGGCTCATTATACGCCGGTGTACTCAGCTCCGCACGAGCAAGTAAACTGGTATATGCACGTTGAAGTGGCCCAATGCGACAGCTTGTCTTTCACGTTCTGGCTGAACAGTTTCTTGCAGGAAAACGTTGGTCGTAGGCTTGCGGTGAAGTATGTTTTGCTCAGAGATTCGCAAAGGCATTTCCGAAGGATTTCTGCTTCATTGTCACCTTTGAATTCTAGATTTAACAGAAGTATCTTCTTCGGGACGGATTAGACTTGTTCAGAAGTCTTGTTTGAATTTAGATTCTTGTCTATGAACATAGGTGGAAAACCGTTTTCCATCAAGGTTCCTCGGAGCTTACAGAGGTCTTCGTCAATCACTTCCTCGCTGCATATCTTCTGAATCCTCGAGGAGAGAGCGTATGTAACGTTCCTCATTCTGCTAAGAGGTCCGAAACTTTGAAAATTGATGAATTGTCCATTCCATGTAGTCTTTTTGTATATGGACCTTCTGAGAGAGTTTTCAGCGTTTCTTCTCAGATGGAAGTCGAGGAAGTGCAGCATTCCATCGGATTCAGCTTTAAGAGTAAAGTCGATGTTTTAGTGAGCATTGGCAGCCATAAAAATTTGAGGAAAACCAGGTGAAGTACCTGAGCAGTTAGTTCAACAGCACTTGTCAGGGAGCTTCTTCGTTAAGTCTTCACTCGAGTGTATGAATACTAAGTTCTCAGATGCAATCTTATTTGTTCCTGACTTATCCTCTGAAGAGCATGAGCATTCCTTCGTCTCATTCTTCATATCTTAGATGATGTGTGATAGACGTCGGAGAAATGAAATTAATACAGTAGAATTTATCAACTCCAGTTCACCGGTACTGCTGACTACCATGGCTTATCGAAGGCGCGAATCCAGACATAAAGAAGTGAAGTCTAGGGAAGGGTTCCATGTCCACAGCCAACGTCCTAAGTTCAGCATTTATCTGACCAGGATATCTTAAGCATAATGTAACTCCAGATATAGTTTCACTGACCAAGTGCTGTCGAACTAACTGCTCAGGTACTTCACCTGGTTTTCCTCCCATTTTAGTGACGTCCTATTTAGTAGACCTTATTTCCAAATTGTCATCTGAAAGGTTCGATGGACGGACACGAGAATTTCGCCTCCTCTAAGGTTTATGTGAGAGAAGCATTTTGTTGTAGCAGAAATTTCAAGCAATCTGCAAGTAGTTAGTTCCCATGGGGACAAAACGTTTGGTTTAAAGTACACTGCGTCTTACTACTGTCAGTGGTCATTCCTCTAAGGAAATCATGTGGTAAAATCATTGGCTGTTGTGCAGAAAACACGTCAAATTCTCCTTCAGTGTGAAGATATGAGTCATTGGGAAGTTGATGAGAGATGACAGTGCTTGACTTATAGTTGTATTAGTTTAGTTTTCAAGCGATTCAGTTGGTGGGCCTCGTGCCATGTGGTTATCCCTGTAGTGAATATCTGGGTGGAGACGCAGTCCGTCTCTGAAACGTCCGTCGTTCGGTCGGTCTGTCTCTCTATCTGTAGGTCGGAGGATGCGGAACCGATTGTAAGTTATATTCGTTGACCAAAGAATTTGGGATTCTGAGTTCCATACGTAGTTTATTCAATGTCAATCTTGATGTCTATGTTGATGGACTAGAATGGGTAGAACTGTCAGATCCCTTCTAAAATACAGTATAGTATCTGCGAAGTGATGATTTAAATAGGTGTAAATCTCCCTTCTATTTTCGTAGCTGAGTTGTGAGACTGCTTTCACTTCGTGATAATTAAGACTCAGCGTTGCCTACTGTTTGCAGGGCAGAAGGGTTAGGCTTGTGGGAGTCAAGGAATGCCAGACTGTACTGAGTAATCAGGATGAAGTGGGAAGTACGTGAGATTTATTATAACATACTTATATTCCCTCAGTGCTATTCTGAGGGATTGGAGGATATTTTTATAGGTTTCATTATTTTCGGTTGTTTTTTCCGTGGATGATTGAGGTTTTTTCTTCGTTTTCCTGGTTACCGTTACTACTGGTGTTTTTGATATACTTTGCTGGCATTTGTTTTTTTTTGGTTCTTTTGATTTGGTGTTTTTTTATCCCTATATTTAGTCACCCACTATCTTTATTTCATCATAATTTTTGTGGGTGACATTTCTATAGATTTTTTTACCAATGATTTTATTGTAAAACGTATGAGAGTGCGCCATTTAGACTTTCTTTTATAAAAATGGAATGTCGAAATCTGGCAGTGGCGGAGACATTTTTTACATCACTTCGATATGTTCACATTGCTGATTATCTTATGGGTTTAGGAAGATTAGTTGATAGATGTCAACACCCTGATATAGGTGTGAAATGTTGTGCTCTATCTATTCACTTATAACCTAGAGTATTGCTGAGCGATGACTAACTGCTTTTTGAATTTTTTCTACCATTAATGGTATCAACGTCCATTTGACCTAGTAGACTAGTTACGATCACATCGTACAACGTTAGTTCTTAATGGTAAAGCGGTACTCTCTGGTTTCATTTCAAACGCTTGTCCATCCAATGAAAAGTTAGGGACGCGCATGCAAACCAATTTATTTTGTACCCGTTGAAACTGTAGAGTACATCAGTCAGCATGTAAGACGAAATAATTTTGTTCTCTACACATTAAACTAGTTTTGATGACAAGGTCTTTAGGTGGTGAGCAATACATCCTGCTTGAGACGTCATCAGATATGACCAAGAACCTCAATCAATGGCAAACATTATGAAATTTTCTTCATTCTTCGGTTCCTGAAAGGAATACTAAGTAAAGACTCTTCTTTGAGTGATTTCAAGAAGCGTGACAGTTGCTTACTGGATGACATCCATAACTTATCCTATCCCTATTTTCTTTACATACTGTAGTTCTGTTATTTTTGTGTGGTGCCCACAACGTACGAAGTTTGTGTTGACTGTAGTAATAGTAATAAATACATGTCCATCCAGCCTGGCTTTGATATTCATATCCATGTTGCCTGCTGCCTAGATAAGTGTAAGAGGTGAAGTCCTTCAAATTTCGTCCCTTGATAGCGATTGGTGCATGTTGTCGTTGGTTAGGTATCTTCATCATCCTGTTTTCTTTGTGTTCAGTTGAAGCCGCTGCCTGCTTTTCTACCGACTCGCTGGTTATCACCTGCAGATATTCGAGTTTACGCGACACCATACATAAGCCACAGATGAAGTCCAGAACCCTTAGTCCTCTTGTCGGTACAACCCAAGATTGTCTTCTCACTCACCAAGATCTGTTGTATCGTCCGGTCCACAACAATCAGAAATATCACTGGTGATAATAGGCAGCCTTGTCTCACTTTTGTCTTAACTTCAAACACTGGTAGGCTTTCCATTGTGAAACATTTGGAGTATGGCGTAGTCATATATCTGCTGAATGAAGTTCATATATGTATGTGGCGCTGCACTGTGTAGCGCTGAAGCAGCTTCCAAATTACTACGCGACCAACGCTAGCCGTTTTAAAGTCGATGAAGTTGAGGCAGAGATTTGACTGCCATTCTACTGTGTAGCGTTGCAATTTGGTCTGCACATGATTTGCTTTTTCCAAAATCCAGCTTGTTTGGGTAGGAGTTTCGCACCCAGAGCATTTTTTAGTCTCTTCAGGATGAGGTTACTTAATATTTTGCTTGACATGGACAGGAGCATGATTCCGCACCAGTTCTTGCAGAGGTGTATGTCTCACTTTCTCAGGAGTTTTGCAAGGTATCCCCTTCTCCCGTTCGGTGAGTACTTTCCCTTCCTTACAAATTTTCAGCAATAGTGATGTGAGCATTTCTGCTGAGGTCTCCGAATGTTTTCAGTGCTTCTGTGGCTTTCAGTAGCCCTATAGCATTCAAGATATCTGCTTTTGTCGGAAGATTGGTATTCACTAGTAGTTCTACGACTACTGGTGGTACTTCTGGATGGCGAAGGGACATCTGGGACCCTATGTAGGATTCTTAATACAGGAGAAATCAGTGTCACTCAAACCTACACACTCAATCAGTGACATGCTCCGTAAGTTAAAGGACCCCATCAACCCAATTACACAAAACAATTCATTCTACAAAATACTTTACAATGACTTTGAAGTTAGCTACATAGGTCACTTCAATAGGTTGTGGTCAGTCAGACTATCGAAACATAGGAATTCAGCTAAGAGTAAAATAATTTATTCCGATAAGATGAATAACTTAGAGAACAACTACTCAGTGATCGCAATGTTATAGCCTTCATCTAGATCTTCGCTATAGGAGGTAGTCACGAAGAGAGTTTAAGCTAATAATTCTGAAACTCAATCCTTTGTGTTACCAGTTGATCGAAATGTGTACTTTTAACCTTGTTAAACGTTGTGGTAAAATATTCAAATTTCCCACTGAAAACAATCGTTGTCGTATCCCGATCCTAACGATACTTATTCAGTGCACAACAGGTTCACAACCCACTCTAAGTAAAAACCACGATTTACTGAAGATGCTCTGAAAAAATTTTTAGTAACCTGCTACAAATACTGTATAGAAGTTAGAAGCAAAAAATTCAAGTTCAAGGTTCTGTATATAGCACTAACCGAAATACACAGGTAACCAAATCAAGACAAAGTATTATTTAAATCATCCAAAGCAAAAAGGAAGTTCATAATGAGTGAAAAATCTTCCTCATTCAAAATAACTGTCAAATCAAATTAGTCGGTAATGAGAAAATTGCAAATAAGTCCCCACATTGTAATAATTATATCACTGCTGATATTCCAGATAATACGCGGTAGCGACAAGCTGGAAGTAGTTAACACTATACAGCAAAAAGCGGATATCAGTAATTAGCATATGATTGGTTTGAAGATGGTGTATAGTAATTTTGAGCTTCACTGGGGGCAGAACCTGGTTTTGACTGAATAGCGCTCGGTGGTGGTGGTGGCATATGAGTGCTGCCAGGTTGTTGAGGATTATAAGGACCAGATACAAGTTGGCTTTGATTGGTGGGTCCAGATGGCCGAGTGGTTGTAGAACTCATACTTTGGTTGGGAGGGCCGACTGACGGGGGATAAATCGGTGGATACGGCATACCCTGCTTGAAATAGAATAGGAAAAAGTAAAATATGGTACATACTATTAAAAAGGAAAGTTTGGTTTATCATATAAAGACAGGCAAGGTTCGCAAGTGAACAAAGAAAGCACACATACACAGACTGGTTAAGCTTATACAATCACACTCAAGTATCAAACGTAAAACTTCCTATGCCAGACGTTTAATAAGAATGGTAGGTTGGTCCAAATAAAACATGCTAATTGAAATACCGATTTTACTGTTGTCTGCTCTAATGGTTTAGAACTAATCCACTACAATTTACCACCTGTTTTAACTTCCAAATCGTTTGGCTTTTCACTCAAACACCATTAACTATTAAAAATAGTACATGTTTGTGATCGTAAGTACACTCCATGTACTTAATGTGTTACGAACTAGATTTGGCATCAAACGGTAAGAATTTATTTGCATCCCTAATTTAATTCCTTAATACTGTGCACTCTTATAACTACCAAATTCGATATTATGAAGTTTAAAAGCCACTATAAGGCACATAGGTCAGATAAAAGGAAAATAACTATTTAGGCATGAAAAGCAATTGAACTGTGAAACGTCGATAAACACAGGTGTCAGACTACCAAATTCATCTATAGCAAAACAATTTTAATGATACAGATCACAAGATTGACTTCAAGACAGCTCTCAAGAGTATCCATAAAACAGTCAGCAGTGCCTACAGAAATACGCTGAAGTCACAGCTACCCATAAAATAAGCAACCCCTTCCCCCCCTCTGTGTACAAATATAACTTATTATTACCCTCTAACTGACCCTGATAATCTTTATCTGACTATACTTCTTAGAGTAGTGTTAATTAACATCCTTCAGATCCTAAGATCTCTTATCACAATTATTAATTAATTGGCGTTTCATTTTCCACCGAAAACTGATCTATCTGACAAGTAAATGTGTGATAAGTGTTCAAAATGTACTGCGCAAATACATCACGTTCTTCAGATAAACTCCGTTTTCCAAAAACGCTATCCATATTTAGGCTAGATCATGACTAATAAGCAACTAGATAGTTCATAAATTAAAGTGATTACGATTCAAAATGTGAGAACTTACATGTGAAATCATTGATGTAGGCTGTTGTTGACCCTGTGACACAGCACTTGAAGAATTAGGTGGTTGTTGCATAACTGATCGTTGAGGTAGTCCCAAGCCAACGGACGGATCATACGGTGGGACTACTGGTGTGAAGATGTTGGACGATGGATGTGGGGGAGCAACGACCATACTACCAGGTCTGTTGGTGCTCGGAAAGTGTCCACCTTGACGAATATAGGGACCCATGTTAGGTGGTAATTTTGTGGAACTTGGAGGCTGATACATAAAAACAAAATACCAAAAATCCACATGGATTATCGATGAGAGGAAAGATGTTATAGGAAATATTTGTCAAAAACTATCCGTATTACTGTTTTTACTTGTCAACAGGATTCTTCGGTTGTCGAAGAGATGCTCTACGGTGTTCATTTCTTCTGATTTTGATTTCTCGAGAAGTTTGATGTGATGCGATATACATCGGACAAACTTCTCGAGAAATCAAAATCAGAAGAAATGAACACCGTAGAGCATCTCTTCGACCACCGAAGAATCCTGTTGAACTACAAAGACTTGAAAAATCATCAGCCATAGGTCTACATGCTATAGAATCAGGCCACAAAATTGATTTTGACAATGTTGAAATAATCCAGAAAAACTTCAGAAATCACAAAGAACGTTTAATATCAGAAGCACTTCATGTCAAGTGGAATCAAAATTGCCTGAATAGGAATGATGGACTAAAACAGAATCTGACCTGGTTACAACACCTCCCTCCCCCCCATCAAGTGACAAAACCAACACGAATGTGATAAGCACTTTCATTATGTAAACACACGCTGCTTTTATAATCTTATACACTTATCAAATCCAACAATCTACACATGATGATTTTGTTATCTTCACCAATTCACCAACTTAACAACTAAAAATGCCCCAGACAGACGAACGATGATCAAGTTAGTAAACTTTTTTCGATATCATAACAGACATACTATTACCTTTGTTATTTGGTATAGTTATCTTCATCGCTATTTTTACTTTCAATATGCCCCTTTAACTTGACCTATGTCTATTTTCTCACTCCCTAACTGTTTGTTATATATATGCTGAGATTTTGTAAATCCCGGTTTAATAATACTTTGATAAAGCTATTAGCATTAAATAGCGAAACGTCAGTAAAAACAATATCGTTTTGTTTTTCATTTATTGGGAAATACAAAAACCTTTATTATAATGAATATCATATACCCAATGCCCAAATTTCTTCAAACCGTTAAAAGTGAACTTGGTTTGGACATATATATTACAGTTTTCTTGAATTTTTCTTTTTTCTTTCACATCTGTATGTTATATGGAAAGGCGCAACTTGAACTGCTGCACTTTTGCGCAAAGTTCGACGTTGATACTTAGTCACACAAAAGACCTCACATGACATGGTCTTTTAAGTTTTGCGGAGCTAAGTAGCAACTAAGGCATGTAACAATGGATTGGTAAATTTTCTCAAACAGTTTAGTCAGCTTCTTGATTTTACTTTCTTCGTATGGTATATAGATGCCTAGTTTTATTTTAGGAACTATGCTTCTTAAACTGAATCTGCTAGCTGACCGTAAAATGCCATGCTCTAGGCTGGAGAACGCAGGGTCATCCGGCTTGCTAAGTTGCTTGTCAAAGTAATATGATCATACAACTTCCCTAGGGTCCTTGAAAGTTGTTGGTCAGTATACCAGTTGTCTGATAGTATCACTGACAATTATCCTACTGCTGCCACTGCCAGCTTGATGAAGCCTAAAAAACGATCAGTTGTTGCTAAAGGCACCTACTATTTTCATCTAACTTTGCATATGGTGATTATCATATTTCGCGGTTCTTTCATGAGCTTTTCGCAATGACAATTATGCAGCAGAATGAATAAAATTTTGACATTTTACTATCACAAGGTATATAGTTCTCAGTAATTTTAACGTTGCGAATAAAAGTAGGTCACGTAAATAAGAATACATTGCTTAGCTGCAATATAGAAGATTGAGAAAACGCGAGTGATGTCAGGAAAATAATTGTTATGATAAGCATGGAATTCCTAAAAGTCTACTATTTGAAAGAATTTTATTCCAGGAGCTCTCAGAACTTTACTCTTCTTTTCAGTCAGCAGAAACATTACATTCACACTCTTAGTCTGATGGAGATTATTTTATGATGACTCGGCCATCAACTAATCATTAAATACGAACATGGTTTCTCTGATTAGACACTAGCTTGTAACTACTATTGTGTCTCTAGTCTTTTGTTTGGCTGTACAATTGTGGGATTAATACCACCGCGAATTAAAACAGTAAAGACAGAAAGTTAGGTTAGACATTCCGAGAAAGATAGTTTTATATAATTTATACCATTAAAAAGTAGGATGATATCAAACCAAAATGCAAAACTTATCAAGTGAGACAAACCCTTGAAGGCTGTGTGATAGGCATTGCCATTGTTGATGTCGGCATCATTGGCAACCTAGGAGGTTCACTGTTTTGAATTGGGGGTTGTGGATGTAGTGAATTCTGCGATGATAACGGTATCGGGGGTTGCATTGCAGATTGGTTTGTAGAATAGCTTGGATATCCCAGAGACTGTTGATAAAAGGCTGGAGTACTAGACGGATTAGATGATGAAATTGGTTGACTCTGAGGTGGTAATGAAGTGGGAACAGGAGAATTGCTGTTTGGCAATAATGATGAACTTGCCGACACATTAGAATGCATGAATGTTGCAGATGACTGACCAGGGATCATGTCACACTTATTTGTTGACGGTGTTTGAAGTTCCACAGAATCATGATTGTCAGATTTTTCAGATATTGTTAGGTTCTCATTATTTAATGGCATGCTTGGTTGTGAAACCGTAGGATTTTCCTAGAAACGTTAGTGATGTGGATTAGAATATACACAAAATTAAACTTGACTGTCTGGATATAAATCCTCATGAATTAAAAGAGTGAAATTCTATATTGGAGAAAAATTATTTGATAAAGTCTCACAGGGTTAAACAGTAATATTTAATGTTTCGAGCACAATTCATTGCTCATAATCATATCAAGGTACTCACAAAACTTTCCGAATTCATTTATATTCATCACTAATACTAGAGACATGGGAAATATTACCACCAATCAAATCAAGGGGTGAGGAATAATAGAACCATATGATATGATTATTAGCAATGAATTGTGCTCAAAACGTCATGAGTGAATATTTTTGTGTAACATTGTGAGACTTTATCAAAATACATTCTACCCATAATGGTTTATACTGTACCAAAATGCCCCAACTTTATCTTTAAATAAAAGAGTAAACGTTTTACTTTCCCGCTGGTGTCTTTTCATAACTCAGAATCATCACATTTCTATTTATATGTTCGCATTATATTGGGTCGCAGAAAAAGAACTTATATTTATGAAGAATATAAAGTGCAATGTGGCATGCACATTAAGAAGCAACACAAAATAACGCTGATAGGACAGTCAAAGGTTTTTAAACGATTTAAAGGTCGTATATTACCACAATATTACTTTGGTTAAAGATTAAACAAGAAACCAACAGTATGTTCATCACTAGCTTCAGTTTCGACTCCTATGCAACTACACTAAATAAATGACTCTTGTCAACAGCACAATGTATCTAGCATTTTTTTTTTAATTTATGTAATGTGGTGCCACAAATGAAGCTTGGACAAAACTCCCAACCTTGGAGAATGAACCACAGTGTAACCATGACAATCGCTTAGTGAAATAAAATCAATCCAAAGATAAATGCATGTTTTATGAAATTCACTAGATTTCCTAAATAGGTTTTAAGGTTAGTGGTTCGAAGCGGGCACTTACTTATTTGTATAAGCTAGATCTCTTACACAGCCACTAGAGATATTTTACACGATAGAATAAATTTTTCTACCTTTAGTCAAACACAGCTGGTACCTTCATAGTACTGCAAACAAAGATATATCTACTCGTACAGCAACAACGAGGTATCCATCAAATAAATAGCCTTCCTAGATGTTCTATATTTCTTTTACCTGAATTCAAGAAATTCTCCGAATCACAACAACTTCATAAAATGGCATACTCAGTTGTAAATACTGTCAATTGGATTTCGCGATTCTGCAAACTTATTCGTTTTTAGTAAATCAAGAAATCACTTTCTTAGAATAGGCAGGTTCGTATGGCGTACAGACAAATGTTGACCAGGTATCAACCGAGTAGTGCACTTTCCGCTATAAAACAAAATGCCATCCTTGACAAAGACTATCTGTCGACTTTGCTAACACTTATAAGATGAAATTGGTTGATTACACTAACCCAATAAGACCAACTAAATAACAAACATTTATATCGTGTATGCTTATTTCAAAAATACAATGCATATATGCTGCACACCATAGTTTTAACTGATGATCAAGGTTTTTTAATTTGTCATAGGTTTTGAGAGCTGAGAGTTGTTACGTGCTTTGAAAAAGCTAAGAATGGTTCCATATTAGCTTGAAATGTTAGAGGTGGAGTAAAGAGTAAACGAAAAAAACGATGAGAATTAAGGTGTTAAGCATAACATGGACTGCAAGTCTCGATTAGATGCATTTCAGGTGCCGCTGAAAGGTTGATACACTGCAGTCACCCAAATCAACAGACTAGATGTCTTATTGAAATTCGTGACTACTGAGCTTAAATAATATCAATTTACCACCATAACAATTTTTTGGCAGTTGAGTAAATGACCTAGTGATGTTACAGTTATTTGTCAATCTTAAAAGTAAAAGTTTATACTAGCTACAAAAGCATAGGACTTGTGTGTTGCTCAAAAAACGTTTCAGATATACCACTAGGAGTTTAAACGTAGTCTTACCAAGAGATTCATAAAAATCGAACACTGCACAAAAGTTAACACTAAGAAAAAATAATTTCCAATCTGTTTCAATGATCACACTTACATGAGGTTTCGCTTTCGAGATATCATCAGTACTGGAAGCCGACTGTAGCAGGTGTGTCGGTTGGTTAGAAGATGATGCAGCAACATTCCTAAGTCGAATATTAGACAGTGGATCGAATTCATTGTTACGCTCCAAATTGTGTGTTGACTAAGGAAAAATACATATGGAAAACATAAATATTAAATTATCGGATTTTTTAGCGGCACTGAAATCATATAAACGTTAATTAAATTATAATATTCAAGAGTTGATTTGTAAGGATTAGATTTGTTTTTACGAGTTTGACCACGGATTGATATCAGTCAACGAACCATTGAAAGCCAGGGAGTACTGGACAGCCGTTTCATCCTAGTTTGGGAATTATCGGCAGTACGCACCCACTGGGGTTCGAAACCAGGACCCAGGCTGCACGGCAAGCTCGTATACCATTCAGCCACTGAAACCCGATTCAATGGTCCATGAATTATAACTTCTACCAAATTCCTGGGGGCGGTATAGATTGTAGGTTTAAAGTCTAGTTGAATTCTACACCTGTTTAAAATTTTTAAAGGATATCCGTTTTCAACAAGAGTATACATCAATATTTCATTTTCTTACTCTATAACATCAGCCGTGAAAATACGCTGAATCCTCTTAAATAAGCATTTCACCAAGCCTCTGTTATGCTCTGATGGACAGAAGCTGTGAAAACTAAAGTACTGCACTGTGTTCACCTTCACACGTGAAATGGACGTTGTCAGTATATAATAGTAATAAATCTTTCCATATAAGTTAAAGGAAAAGGGAAAGAAAAACAACTAGAAGATATATAGTCACAAAGAATATCAACAGTCTTAATCAACGTACATAAATCGTTGCGTATTGGACCTAAAACATCAGCTACTAATGTTGCTAATTTATGTGAGGGAGAATGACACATAGATGGAATTAGACGTAATGGATTATCAACCTTATGAATTTTGGGTAAGCCATAAAGGTGGATTAAACTCCTGTTTATCGACAATGTCCAAGCGAGAAGTTAATTATATAATCTCCGGAGGGAGTAGACTGATAAATGAGACTAAAAGATTGTCTATGTTTTGAGTGGATTACAAAAAACATCAGCTTATAAAAACAAACTAAGGAGAATACTTACATCAGTTTTGCCTAATTTTTCAAGGCGGTTATAGTCGGCAGCAATTACACCGACAGAACCCAACCCAGAACAATTACCATTAGAAGATAAAGTCTTCTCAAGCCGATCGGCTAAATTAAGCATATGATTACCAAGCCGTTGAAGTTCAAAAATTAATGAGGTTTGATCCCCTGATTCAGAAAGCATAGCTTCACTTTTCTTGTTTTTAAACGCATCAGTCCATTGGGATATTTCAGGTTTGTTTATTACTACAAAAATAAAAACACAGAAAATAAGAAATAACTATAGAGGTTTCAAGAACGAAAGTTATTAGAATCTTCATTTGAATGGAAAATATTCATCATTCAGGATACAGTCAGCAGTCCAAATTCGGATATCTTTAGTCTGTCTGTTTTCGACATTGAACTTTGCACCGATGTGCAGCAGTTCAAGTCGCCACACCATGTAGCAAACAAAGCAAGAGAAGAAAGTCGGAGAAATGCATAACAGGGACAGTAGACAGGGATATGAGACAAAAGGAATAGTAATAACGAAGAGCAATATAGTTTTGTTAAGTATTATAAGTCACAAGGAGTGGATGCATCTGGGCCATTGAGAACGACTTTGAGCCGTATCACCGATTGTCTCCAGCCATTGGCGGGAGCGATTCGCATGCCAAACATTCGCAGATTCCATCTCAAGGTGTTCAGAAGACTCTGTATTTTGTCAGCGTCTTCACCTAGAAGGACTATATCATCTGCATATTCTAAGTCAACAAGACTATTCCCTGGTAACAAGTCAACCCCTGAGTCGCTGAAGTCAGCATTTAGGGTCAATTCCATTAGTACACCTATGATGAAATTGAATAGAAACGGGGATGGTGGGCATCCCTGACGGACACCATTAGTTGTCACAACTTCAGATGACAACTCGCCGTAAGCTCTCACCTGGCGGTATGAGTTCGAGTAGAGTTCATTGATCAGTGCAATGTATTTTCTCGGCATTCCCTTTACAGCCAAGCATCGCCAGAGTACCTCTCGGTCGACAGAATCGAATGCCGCCTTTAGGTCAAGAAATATAGAGATTGTTGGACGCCGGTAAGTACGCCTATGTTCCAGAATATGTCGACGAGTAAAGATATGATCAATACACCCTCTTCCTGGTCTAAAGCCTGCCTGGTTCTCTCGTGTTTGAACCTCCCGTGGACCGCTTAATCTATGCATGACTATTGAGCCTAGGACTTTAGATACCATATTAGTCAAGCTAGTACCCATCTTGTATATTGGGATAATCAATGACTTACACCAACCCGACGGGACTTTCTCTGATTCCCAGACGCTGCCTAGTATCTCAGTTAATGCAGACAGTAAACTGTCTCCACCGTACTTAAATACTTCTGACGTCATTCCATCAGGTTCTGCTGCTCTGCCTCGTTTCAAAATAGTGACAGCCTTGGTAACCTCACCTAGGGACGGAAAACCTGTGTCTACATTCCATTCAGGGAGGTGTTGGATGTTCGATAAGTTGAGTGTGGCTGTAGACCAATTAAACTGCTCTTCAAAGTGTTCTTTCCAACATTCCAGTCGTCTATCCTGAGAGCTAATTATGGTGCCATTTTTCTCAGAGATTGTTTCACTTATCATTTGCCTTTTACCACCTGTTTTCCTGATAAACCTAAATAATTGTCTGATGTTACCAATCGCCGATGTCTTTTCCATCTCTTTTGCTTTTGTCACCCACCACTGTTCACGGTCGTTACGAAGACTTCTTGTTCGTTTGCGTTCGAGTAGCTTTCACTCATCATCATAATCGGAGCTCGCTGGAATCAGTCTTCTTGCGTCAGTTAATTCGGATAAGGCGGTAGAGACCCAGTGGCTCTTACTAACTTTTGGTTTTAGCTTATTAACAGTTCTTACAGCTGTGTCTACTGCTAACTGTATGTTGTGCCAGATTACATCAGGGGAAGTCCTGCTGTCGACCTCAGATACACGTTTCGCTATTTCTTCCTTTAAATAGGGACTCACAGTCTCAATCTAGTTGGGGACGAAAATGTTTCGCTACCAGCAATTTTTTATGTTCGTTTAGTCGTAAGCATAAGCGTGCGCAGACCAGAGGGTGATCAGGGTCTACCCACGTGTTCCAGAGGGAGTGGCAGTCTTCTATTGACCCTCACCAACGACACTCTATCGCTGTGTGGTCTATCTGAGTCCAGCGTTGATTTGGTGATGGAGGTTGCCAGGTATCTTCAGGCGAAAAGGTAGTAGTATTTTCAAAAGAAAAAAAGAAAGAGAAGAAAGGTAAACAAAAAATAACTTCACTATGTCTACAAGGCACTTATTACTGAATATCTAGAAAATAACTTCTGAAGGGTATATCTGGAATTAAATCGCAAAGAGCGAACCAAATGAAAGAAATGAATCAATGATATTATCAAAACTAAATAACCAACGACAATTTCAATGATTGTGATTTTAGGCTATTCATAAAATAATAATAAACTAAAAGATAGATTTAAATACACTTTTAGATATGTTTTGTGGGGCGAAAAAATCTTGCGAATTAGTACAGGGGATGCAATTCCTTACATCTGTTTTTTTTGTATATACAGCCGTGAGAAGCTCTAGAGTGCAGTGGTTCGCTTTGATAGATGGTTCAAGGCCATTAGCAAGAAGCCTTGAACCTAGGTCTCGAGCTCGTTGGGACTAGTCACCAAAGCGTATCTGCAATCACGAAGGAAATCATGTCTCTTCTGAGATTTAAGTCTGCGTCAACTAGCGCTGTAGTCAGAGACGTGACTACTGAGCTATTCAGATACACGACTCACCTTCTGCATCAAATGAAGGATTAAACGTGTGACAGTTAATACCTAGTGTCTGATCAATGTGGTTTACTTTCGTGTGAAGCTCAGTACTGTTTAAGATATTTGTCTTGCCCCCTATTTATATAGTTCTAATTTTACCTAATTTCATTGAAAGAGCAGGAGAACTTTGATGACACATACTAAGACATCTTCTGCTGCATGTATTTAGTGTAGATTTGACAAACAAAACTTCCTTTGTGCTGCTTTTTCCCATCCGTCTAAATAGACGTTTGAGACTTTAAAGGAAAAGAGTTCAAACACAAAGTACTTGCTGCTTTGTGCAAATATAATAAAGGATACAGGTGGAAAAGAACTTAAGAACCCATTAACGCGGCAAAAGACTGGTAAGAGAAGTTTTGTGGATTAAGTGGTCGTAGACAATGAGCAGGAAGTCTTGGACCTAGATTGCGTGCTTGTTGGCACTAGTCAGTAAGGCATATCTGCAACCTTGAAGAGTTCGAGGTCTCATCAGAGATCTGCACCACCTAGGGCAGCAGTTAGAAACACTACCACTGGGCTATTCACGCTCACGACTGACCTCTTATAGAATTGTGATCTTAGGCATTAGTATCAATGTATAAATCATCCATGTGTTAAACAATTCACGAGTAGAACACCTGAGCGCCAGACACTACAGATACGGTGGATAGATACACGCTTACAAAGCAAGAGGTTTTCACTTCACAACTCATCTAATCTAACTCAAGATCACTTTGCACTTCTTCATAACCGTAGTTAGTTTCACCTTCCTGTAGCAAACGAATACAGCCTAAAGCAAATGTTAGGTTTCCAACATGCTGCAAATCTTTTCCTGTCACTTGACTGACAGTGTCAGTATACAAACAAAAAATGGGCTAGATAGTTATTTTCACAGATATATGTATTTATCAATTCAATTGCTCCGGTGGAGAAAGTCACAGTAGTATACAACTAGGCAGATTAACCATTGTATCACAGAACACTTCAGCATGACTGGGTAAAAGACAAATAAGATCTATCCGAAGCTCCTCTATGTTGTAACGTCGATTTGAGAGTGGTTACTTTGTAAATAAAACGAAAGGACCTGAGATTATCCACCGCATTCTGTCAAACGTTCTTAATGAATTTCGCATTCCTCCAATTTATGTAACTGGTACCGTTTCCTTTTAAACTAATCAAACACTGTTTAGTTAAATAATTATGTTTATGTTGCCCGGGGAAAACTTTACTAATTATACTCTCCCCATATACATATATAATTTTGATTGACAGTGAGCTGTGGTTTATAAAGAAGATACCCCAAAAGAAGCTTTTGAACTTATAACCCTATAGTCTAGTTTATATCTAAGTTTTAACAGGTGTTAATTATACTATGGTACTTCAGGATATGACATGAAATGTTAGACAACTACAACTTTTCGGTTGAAAACAAATTACATAGAAAAAATATGTAGTTGAAAAGATATTAGGTGGGATAACAACATTTCTAGTTTTCAAAACTAGGCAAATCTAGCAGTACCACCGTCACAATTGAAAAAAACTGATGATGTCATGAAGCTTAAAATTTTTGATGTTTAAAGAATACCACTTTTACTGACTGACTGATATTTGGAAAACACTAGGGTTCTCAAGAGTTTCAGTTTGAAACGATAAGATGAAAAGGTAGTAGATAACTACACGATATGAGTAGACGATGAGTAGATACCTGACGAAACTTGTTGTCTAGGTGGTTTCAGAGATATCCCTTACAGTATTCACACACTTCGATGCAAAAAAAAATAGCATTTAGGCTACCATATTGATTTTTCAAGAAAAGACGTTCGAGAAAGGTAGAGTCAATAAAATTATGCTTTTAGAAGGCTCGACTTCTACACAACCAGTTTAGTAACATATTTTAAGTGAATGTATTACTGGTACCTACAGATTATCACACCAGCATAATTACCAGTTGAAATAAGTTCGATTTTCCGAAAATCTGAAAGAAAATATTGAATTACGATATATCATTTATATAAAAATAGGGAATGTATCTATTTAAGTAACACAGATCCATTGCCATAGATATTTCCTAGTCCCCAAACCAGGATTTTATATTCTTAACAGACTACGACTACTATGACTAGCTTTAATTTAAACTATGATTGGAAAGTGGGTAAGTGAAGAGTATGTTGAACCATTTAGACTTTTTTAAATTTTTGACGCGTTTTATGCATTCGTCCGGACGAATATCTCGGTACACACAAACACATATTCAATCCTTTTCCGAAGGTAGATGCTACTCTTTAAAACTGTTTTAATTGAGAACTACAGATATTTTAACTAAACAGGAGAAAATTGGTAAGTTTTGGGTAGAGTTATGTAATGCAAAAACTGTCAAGAAAATTGGGTGTTAATGGAACTAGTGTAGTAACAAAGGTGATGAGTTGTCAC